ATATGACATCGGCCGCGATCGGCGATTGAGGTTCCGTTAGCCGACGCAAGCGTCAGCGGACGTCTCATATTTCCATACTCTCATTTAACTACAGAAACAAAAACAACAAAAAAAATCATCCAGTTCATGTTCACTATGTTCACCACTGACAAGATAGTCGGTAGTCGACGAGTTTCCGTGCAAAGCCGATCAAAACGAGGCACCAGATCAACTTTTACGGCTGCCATCAGGAAAGATCTGGCTTGTCGCGTTCCCTCAACGTCACTCCGAATATTGTTTGTGCCCCGCGCACCATCCTCTTGTAGCAATATTTTTATTGTCCCCATGTGATTTCTTTTTTATGTTCTTACTGGTGTTTGATCATAATTCGGTCATTGAAATAGTTTTTGCTGCCGACCCTACCATTATTTTGACCCTCTGGCAGCAAAGGAATATTATGCCGGCATTACACACGAAATAAGAATGTAGACACTCCGTCCCATATCTCAAATTACATCACAATGTGTTTACACAACTGTAGTGCAGAGGTATGATGAGCAGGGTCTGAGAAAATATTAGTTTCAGTATTTTCAAAAGAGCGACGAAGCAAAATAAAGAAAGGACCGCCAATCGGCAGTGCGTGCAAGCAGAGGCAGTAGTGACAGTAAGCGCGAGGTGTGTCTTTCGTACGGCCGGCATCAACTCACGCACTGTCTGAAGATGTACTCTGTTTTACTCGTAGGATTGCAACGCTGCGGAATGTAGGCGTGTGATTTCAGAAAGCGCGTCCTACCATTTCTGCGCGAGAGTGCTCCTGCAACCCAAGCATTGTATACAGTTACGTCCTCGCGCCCGTGCCTTGGCCAGGCCCGTACACAACTTATGCAGTATCGAAAAGGCATAGTTCAAAATTGACGGTCCCACTTTTCCATACCGCTTCAAAACCCCATCTCGCTCAAATCACTTGGCAGCCGGACAATTTTGGCAGGGGGCCTCAAGTTGGGGATTATCCGGTACATTGTCCTCCCAACAATGAACGTGGGCGCGACGCGCCAGAGGGTGAACACGTGAAAGGAGGGGCGTAAGAGTGGAGAAGGAAACTCAAGGTCGCAAGCAACGGGAAAAAGGGTTTCGAAATTGGCGCGCAGGTTTTGCAGCATTTGCTCATACTAGAGTAACTGTATATGCTCCGCTTGCGGAGCAGAGTACCGCAATGGTGCCATTCTGGAGCCAAGCACTGCGGGAAGCCACGGTCGGTTTTTGCAGGGGACGCGAAGGTGCAGACGCGAGGCGGCGTGCTGTGGCGTGCTGTGGCGTGCTGCGGCACGCCTCGTAAGGAAAATAGTGCGGCGTGCGGCGACGAGCCGCGCAGGCGCCGTCATCGTTGTCCCGTTGTTTCCTGTTTCCCTCTCGATTGCAAAAATTGCACCCGCGGATCCTGCAGGTCGCGTGTGAAGTGAAGTCGTCCATACATTGCGGTAAATGACGCAGCGGCTGACGAAAACGCCGTCCCCTCGCTTTCGCGCAGGAGCTCGCCGACTCGCCAAAATGGCCGGATGCGCCGGTCGCGTATCGCGTACCACTCCGCGAGAGCCGCAGACGCGAGAAACGCGATCGTCGTCCGTGTCGTCTGCTTCCCATACCTTGGAAACGGATGTCCTAAAACATCGCTCGCGTTATAAAAAAAAAACAGGATTGTATTGTACCCAGTTGACGCACATAATCTTCAATGACTTAGGAAGCTTTCGGTTCGTTCGATTTTAGTCTAGGATCTATATTTGGCGGAAAATATGTTCCCCCGAAACTCGGCGCTCTGGAAGGCCGCTTTCCCGCACGAAGGTCGGATCCAGTTCTGCCCACGTGACCACTCCTCCGCCAATACGGAGATGGCGGCGAAAGGAAAAGGAACGCGATACTCTGGCTCTGCAAGCAGAGCCTATACAGTTACTCTAGCTCATACGGACAGCCAACGCCGCCCTGGTGGTTCAACTAATGTTTTGTTCAAGGTGGCCGCCGTGCTACCGCAGCCTTAAGAACCATATCTTTCTTCGCTAATTAAAAATTATATTAACAGATTTAGTTAGTTATTTGACTTATCGTGCTGATTAGCCCCCAATAATATGTCCACCTGGACGTATGACTCACCTGCACACACCGCTTTGTTGATCGCTATAGACCATTCCATTTAGCGCTCTCTGGGTGGCACCATTTTGTTCGACAGCAGCGCCCTCTCCATACATCCGGGAAATTCAGCGGGTTCGGCGGGGTAAAACGAGAGAGAGGGCACGCGCCCGACTCCGCTAGCAGACGACAAACTGGGAGGTTGCCATTCTCCATCTTTGGGCTGTAGCGGCGGGCTGTACGGAACATAGAACTCTCGCTCGTGGCTGCCGTTGTGAAGTGATTCGCCTTCTTAGAATAGCTGTGGCTACTCCAAAATCAGCCTATAGCTCTCTGTTGTTCTAGTTCGGTAAATGATCAACTAACATATTTTTTTTCCGTTACTTAAATAGCAGTTGAGTCAGCCGGCAGTACTACCCTCTACTACTGCGTATATTGTAGCAGGAAAGCACGTTTTTATTTATTATTTCAGACTTCCACTCATGGTCGCTAAAGGCCTACACCAGTACGAACTTTGTATAGTAAATAAGGTGCAGCAACCGGATTTACTTTTCGCCGGAGAGACCAGCCAGTCTGACACAGTTTTCCCTATTTCTTTTTTATTTGCACGCAGGTAACAGCGCAATTGAACCCTGTTAGTCTTGTTTTATCTAGCATAGTATTGCACGATAACTGGCATACCAAAATATGCGCATCTGCACTTGAAATTTCCAAAATTACGCGATTTTAAACAGAGTTTGCATGCCAGCCGGATGCCAGGTACTGCCCACTCCGGAGAGCAGACGACATGCGTGGTGAGAGGGAGAGGGCATTTTTTCTCTCCATTACCCTCTCGCTATGACCCTAATGGAACGGTCTATAGCCTTCACAGCTTTTTAAAAACAAATAAGTAAAGCCCAAAAAATACACTTTGCATAGATAGGTCCAACCTTCATAAGGTCAGTGCAGGTACATGCATAACTGAGAAGCCAGGATTCTAAAGCAGGTTAAATTACGACTTCCATACTATTCTAAGAAATGACCTGTCCCTGGAAAGAAAGAGATAAGCTAACATTGCTGACTGGAGAGAACAACCATTTATGCTTTGTTGCCGCCCCCCCCCCCCCCTAAAATGATAACTACCGTAGAATACCGTGCATCCGCCCATTCCACACTAAGCGCTCATACCCAAATTTGTAAGATCTGAGAAAATATGCACAGTACATTGATATGTAAAATTGATGACTGGACAAGCGCTCATCTCCCATTTTTTCGCGATTATCTCTAAATTTTGAGTGGGTGCTTGCCCGGTATTTTACGGTAGGTAAATCACAAAAAGCAAAAATAGCTCGATATTTTTTTTGTGGTTACACATTTAAGGTTATTTTACTCTTTACTTTTACTTGATTCACTCTTAATTTGAGGTTGGCTGTCTTTCAGAGTATCATGGTAGTATAGAATAACTATAAACAAAATTTTCAGTACTTCTGTTTTCAATAGAATTTTATATGAATATCACCTGATATTCTAGTTTGCACTATTAATTAATGTTACAGAAAAGCAAATAGTAGGGTATAGTGCATAAAAGTGCATTTCATAATGTTCTTTGCAGATCATGTATGCATCATCTCCCGATGAACTGGATGCTGCGACAGAGGAGCTTCGACAGAAGTCCCACCAGAGATATGTCGCACGAGTGGAGGCTTTTCTGGAGAGGAAGGAGGAATGGGTGCTCCTTTTTCGATCCAGCACCACAACAAGAGGCCACAACACAAATAACTTTGCAGAAGCGTCAATTCCTATTCTAAAGGATGTGGTACTCTGCCGTCGCAAGGCGTTCAATGCAGCGGGGGACGCAAAACAGCACAAGCCGATGACCCCAGCTCTCCCGCTCAACCCGCGAGACAAGGAGCGACCGACAACTGGATGCACTCCCTCACGAAAACTCCAAAATTGAGGAAAATAGTCGAATTTTGTGACATGGTTCATCCAGTGGCAAGTGGTGAAACTGCAACTGTCTTTTTTTAACCACCGGACTGCAGAAACTGTAATTCGGGCACTTCGGTATGCTGCAGCCTTTCGGCATAGCCACCGAGGGATTGATCACAAACAATGTAAACACTACTCGAGCAGCCAGAAAACGACAGTGTGCTCCGCGAACGAAGCGCAACCAGAAACCCGTTCAGCAGACGATGCTCGGGAATGACTGCGCTGGAGTAGTAGGGTCATTCTCTTGCTTCATTTACCACATGATAGATGGTGCTTGGCTCTAAGCATTATCATATTTGTCAATTTTCGTCACATCTCTAATTATGCTACAAAATGTGGGTCTGAACATTATTTAAGAAAACTTTTTGGGAAACATTCGCCGGCTATTTATTGTTTATGATTGTGGTGCTGGTGAGATAGGCTCTTACCCAATAGGCGACGTGGATTTGGCTGACATGCAGTGGTTCCGCGGATGCATCGCTGTGAAAAGGCAAAGAGCTTTCGAAGGAAAGAAGGTCTAAGAGTCTGGTTTTCTTTTAAAAGTTCTATAGCGAAGAATTTTTTTTGACAAGAAAAAAACAGTTTGAGGATTTTTTCACTACAAAAATTTATGATACACTGAGACACACTCTTTCTCCACCCAAAGATAGTGCTAGCGGTCTGAACCGGATGCCAAAATTTTAGAGCTAAGTGTTACCTTATGCAAAAGTTATCTGTGATATTCTCAAAAAGACAGTAGGGAAAAAAAGCTTGAGGTACACCTAAGCACTCCTTACGAGTTGTGAATGCAAAAGCATGCAAGCCGCTCGTCCGCTCCCTTTGTCGTCTGCTGCATACTTTTCATCGCCGGTCAGCACGCGTGCTAATACCTGCGTCTGCTTTCAGACAAAAGAAGAAGGCAAAATCCCGAGCCGAAAGGGGTCAATCTGCATTCAGGAAAGGATTCTTCCCCTTCGAGAAAAATGGCCGTCCGGGAAAGTGGCGTTGTGCTCGTTCTTCATGGACTGCAGCAGCTGGGCGTCATCCAGCACGTCCAGCACGGTTCGAGCCAGGGCCTTGCCGGCAACGAGCGTCGCCTGGTGGGCGGCCTCTGTGGCTGCGGCTTCTGCGAAGGCGGGCGTGTGGTTTATGGCGGCCGTGCCGATGTCGAAGGACGGGTGGATCAGCGGCACCTCGTGCGACACGTTGCCGGCGTCCGTCGAAGCGCCCATGGGCTCGTTGCGGCTGGAAGTGGCATCCTCGAACACGAATCCTGCGGACATTCATAACCCGCATGTGACCGACTATACACCAACAAGGTGTTTCCAAATGAGCCTGCTTTGCCCGCTCCGGGTGTGGGCACTGCGCGTGCGCAGAAACCGAATTCGGGACAAGTGAAGCATTTGCGCATGCGCAGCACCAACAGTAGCACCACCGCAGTGGGGCGACGTCAGTGAGTTGAGTTGGTCTATACTCCTTTCACACCAAGCCCGAGCGCAGACGAACCGATGGAGGCAATCAAAAAACGCCAAACGTGCATCGTCACAGCGCTTGTTGTCTGTATGGGTGTATCCTGTCTCCGATGGATCGGTGGAAGGATATTAATAGCTATACCCCTTGTAACGGGCAGTAGCTTGCGCCACCTAGCCTATACCTAGCCGACTAAAGCGATTACGCGCAGCTTCGTCGAATCGGAACATAGGCTGCGGGCCGCAGCCTACGTTCCAGTTACAAGTTACCAAAGAAGTAACAAAATTACAGTAACGCGTTACTAGTAACGCGTTACTACCCAAGACTGCCTGCGGCTTGGCTGCACTCAGACATAACGGGAAAGTGTAATCAAAAGTAATGCGCTTTTCGCAAACTCCTCGAATTAGTCTTGCTTCTAACAGTAATTGCCGTCGATACTGTAACTGCCTCGTGACCCATAAGACCAATAGTATGAAAAGTTAATTAAGAAGTTTTAATAATTAGACAGCTTGCCTGGACGGTTATTCCTTCATGAAGTGTCCGTTGAGCCCAGGGTATCGGAACAAAACAAAAAACAAAAACGAAAAACGAAAAAAACAATATTTTTGGGCGGAACGGAAACGTAATCGAAACATTATTTATTATTTTGTTCCGGAGTGAAACCGAAAAATGTTCTTATCGGTTTTCGGTTCAATGGGAAATATCAGGTATTTCAGTAATTTGTTTCACGCAGCGAAGAGACTGCCGTTGGTTTGTGCCATAATTAAAGAGAAGACAAGCAAGCCATCGCCCCCGCGTCTAAACTCCGGGCGAACAAGCATAGCAAAAACAAAGACAAAAATACAAAGACAAACAAAAAAACATGACGCAAGGCGCCATTGCTTCCCACCAATGAGAGCGCGGTGGCGCGACGCCTCCACACGCTCTCAACGCTCTCTTTGGCTCTTGCGCCCTTTCCCTCCACGCTTTCTTCGGACGACACAGGCACACAACAGACTACGGCAAGCGCGGGAAGTTTGCGACACGGCGTTGTAGAAGTCCATCTTTTGTTTTTCTACGGGTACGGCAGTCTGAGACTCTGTTGCAAAAGTGTACTTCTTCATCCCTATGGGGCGCGAGAGAACTAATCGCGCCCGAAAATTTTTCAACTATGACAGCGTCTCAAACAAATCGACGTGTCAGATTGAAGACTGCCAGCACGTTGTTTCTGGAGACCACGGCGGAAACTTGGAGCGCCATTTGCAGCGGCGCCACAAAGAGGTATACGGCAAGTTGCTTGCTGAAAAAGCCACAAAGCGTGTTGTACTAGGCCGGGATGAAGACTCTCCTGCCGCAAAGCTCAGGCAAGTGGACATAACAAGCATGCTTCAGCCGACTTCATCGAAGTGCGTTTGGCTTGAAATAACGGAGGACAGCATAATGAAAAGTTGCGTCGAGCTCGTGACGAGAAACGGACGGCCGTTCCGACTCGTCGATGACTCCGGCTTTCGACAGATTATTGATCCGGTCCTCAAAGCACTCGGCGCCAGACGGGCTATAACAGCGGCGACTGTTAAGGACAGAGTCCAGGAAGAAGCCAAGAGCAAGCGAGAGGAGATTTCTTCGTCGCTTAGAGGAAGGATGTTTTCTCTCAAAATTGACTGCGCGTCCCGACTTGACCGGGCTTTGCTCGGAATCAATGTACAGTACGCGGAAAATGGAAGGCTAGTTCTTCAGCCATTGGCCATGAAGGAGCTTTTTGACAGACACACTGGGGAACACCTGAGGCTTCAAGTTAAAAGCACACTGTCTCGCTACGACCTCAGCATCAGCCAAGTCTACAGTGTAACAACCGACAACGGAGCTAACATGCTGAAGGCTGTTCGTCTTCTCGGTGAAGCTGATGATGAAAGTGATGACTGCAGTTCAGACGAAGAGGCCGACAGCGGCGAGCACGCATTTGGAACCTACGGCTTAATCTCTCTGCTGGACAACCCAGAGGTTACTCACCTTCCAGGTCTTGACGACGCAGACTTGATGTTAGGCGTCAGGTGTGCCGCGCACACACTTCAGCTGGCCGTTACTGATGCCCTCAAAGAGTCTGGTTCCTGCACCATCGTCGCAGAGTGTCGCGCGCTCGTGAAGAAACTCCGCGTACAGAGTGCTATGGGCTTGATAAGGAAGCTAGGGCTAAAAAAGCCTGTCATCGATTGCCCAACACGATGGATGTCGACGTTGAATATGTTGGTCAGGTTGACTGAATTGAAGAGCTTCGTCGAGGACTTTCTATCGGAGGAAGAACGCTCCCGCTGGATCGAATGCATGTGGGCAGAAGTTGAAATGCTCACGGTGGCCCTTGAGCCGGCACAAGTGGCCACGAAGAAGCTTCAGAGAGAGCAGCTGACAATTGGAGACTTCTATGATGCATGGTTGACCTGTGTCTTAAGCACCTCCAAGATACTGTCGCCACTGGCAAAGGCCCTGGTTAAGTTCATGAAGAAGAGAGAGCGAGATCTCTGCGACACAAATATTTTTTGCGGTGCACTGTACATGGAGCCACGCTATCGCCTTCTTCTTACCACCGAGCAAAAATGCCAAGCAAGGCTGCACCTGAGCAAGACCTGGAAACGAATTACAGGCCTTCAACCGAAGCAGGACATCAAATACATCCAAGCAAGCGTGGCAGCAGCTCCAGCGGAGCCACAAGATGCCCTCGAAGCGTTGCTAAAGGAAAAGGAAGCTGAGGCTGGCGCTCACCCTGAAGCAGGTGGGCTAGGCCCAGTGGACATCGCATGTTTGTTGGAAATGCTGGACAAAGAAGCACGCCTTCCAAGAACCACAAATGTACTGGCATTTTGGGAAGAGCGGAAGGAACGCCAACCGGAACTGTATTCTTTAGCGAAAGTTGCCCTAGGTGTGCCAGCCACACAGGTCAGCGTGGAGCGGGCATTCTCGGCGCTGAAATTTATTTTATCGGACCAGAGGTCTTGCCTTTCACTGAGCACACTTGATGACGTGCTGTTTCTGAGATCATGCTCGGTGCCTTGATCATGATCTCATTCTCAAGGCAATGAACATGATCTCAGAAGCAATGTCGTTTCCGCGGATTCCTCTAGAGCGCCTGAATTATATATTTTTGTGTAAAAATAAACGTTACGTTCCTTTTACTTTTTGTTGTCATTTTTTTTTTCATAAAAAGAAACCGTTACGAACCGTTACGGAGCATTATTTTTTCGTTCGGGAGCGGAAACGGAACGGAACTTTTTTGTATGGAACGAAAATGAAAACGGAACGAAAAACATTTCGTTCCAACGCCCTGTCTGTCTATGCTAGATCGCAAACTCAACGATGAAGTTAACTCAATCGGTCGCTGATTGGCTGCCCTTTTGGTCACGTGATGTGACGTTGCGATTGAGTTTTTCCCTACGGATTCCGATGGAGTTCGAGCTATGCTGGTGAAATAATGAAGTTCGCGGTGACGTCAAAATGTCGTCACGATTGAGTTTGGCGATGGAGATAACTTTGTAGTAGTCGGGCAGCAAAAGTTGCCAAAGTCAATGAAGATGGCGACGTTCAAGCTCGCGGACGGGGCGGACCAAAGCGGACTATCGCTACGTTTTTATGTGTTCGCCGTTCAAGGTTCGTCAGGAACGTAATCGGGGAATACTGCCCGACACTCGCTGGTGCTGACATTTGCCGTGGAAGCTTTGGCGGCGTCGCGAGGGGCCCCATATGGTGACCGCCGAGCAGCAAGTGCTCTCTTTGAGCGTTGCTGGCGGCACATTTTGCTCTCTGATTTTGCTGCGACGAAGACGTCACCGTGTGTCGGTATGCTGCGAATCGCATTCTTTGGATGCTACAGAGGCGATAATCGATAACCCGGGGCTGAAGGTGGGTGGGCTTCGCGCGCCAAGTGAAGACGGAAAGACGACGACCAAGAAGTTCAGCGATACGAATTCAGTGGTGTTGTCGGTAAGTGCTCTATACACATTTTCTCAATGCGCTTGCACGAGAGCTCTCGGTAGAAAATGGGTGCCTCGTTCACCGTGATGAGTGTCGTGTGAGATAGTCGCACGGATTCAAGCTTACTCGTGATTCCATGTGTATCATCCAAATGTCTCGGGCCTCAACATCTGGAAATTGTTCTGCTGCAGCACGTTGTGTACGTTTTCATTTTACGATTGCAGGTTCAAACTGGTACAGTATCTTGTTCTTTTGCTTGTGTTGTCTGAAACGTTTCTGCTGCTTTTCTGCCACACCGGGTAGGGCGCCTCGTCAAGCTGCAAGCCATGCAGCTTGACGTTTGACATTATATGTCCCATCTCCCACCTTTGTATATAAAGGAAAATAAAGAGATTATTAACTCAATTGACACCTCTTTGCTCTGAAGGCATAATTTTGGGTATTGTGCGAGACAAGTGGAATATCTCCATTTTTTTTTCAACTTTTTTATTATTACATTTTCAGCCTTTATGGGATGCTATGCAACTACTATCTCCAAGTAGAGGCTGCATTAGCATATAGAATTTCTATCTAGTCTTGATGTGCTTTTGGACAACTGAAAAGGTTATGAAACATTCATGTCAGATACCGCCTCATTGTTGTGTGCAGGTGACAGCGACAAAACCCTGAAGCCATGCTTGCACACCAATTCCTCGCAACCCCAATGGATGCTCTGCTGTTCTGAGTCCAAGCTTAACAAAAAGCATTGCTTAGGATTCTGTCGTAGAGCAGTGAATAGGATGCTGAAAAGCAGGTTCCGGTGGTTGTAAAGGTGCTAGGCACAGTAACATCATTTGACTTTCTGCACAATGCGGGCTTGTATAGCTCTATTTTGGGGCCTCTCCCTTGAGCCCCAAGAGTCCGACCCCGAGGACGGTGTAAGCTTTGACAGCAGAGGACGCGCTGTGCAGTGCTGAAAATCTGAGAGGTGGCCACCTCTGCAAGTATGTGCTGCCTACCAGGGTCTCCCTGCTCAAACTTGAAGCCTGGCAGCTGTTGAGGCTACTACGAGCTTTGTCTCTCGTCACATCTGCGAAATATACTTGTGTGTATCCGCTTGCAATGTTTTGTCATACTTTGTAACTTGCCAAATCAAGTAGACACAGTAAGTCCCTTTGGCTGCAGAGTGGTCTACCTAAAAGACAGTTCAAGCAGAGTTTTGGTATGGCACCTAAAAATGGAAGTTTGTAATAAGTTGATGTTTCTGAAAAAGCTTTTTAACACAATGCTTTTGGCAGGGTAACCTTGCAAAAATGCAAACCGCATAAGCGAAATGTCGAGGCATTAGAATAGAGAATAAAAGAGGGCCTCCTCATGGGTGGCATCTTGTTTCCCATTGACTGCATAAGCATTCTGGCTCTAACAGTATATTGTTCCAAGCATAGAGGAAGAAAAGGTGAAGAATTAACTGTGGTTGCTGGTATCTGGACAATTGAACTTGCACCGCTGTGTCACCGTTAATTGTGAAATTTCTGGTGCCCTGTATATGAAATATACATCGACATCTGAAGTCGAGATATGAGTCCCGGCACATAAACAATTGCACCGAGATTTCCTGACCCAAAATTTGTATTCGATGTATGACAATTTTGTCGAGTGACCAAGGTAGTGCTGCAAACCTTTTTTCCATGCTATACTGAAATCATGACAGACGCAAAATGGTGCCTAGGGAGCATGTTTTATTGTGCATGGAAATTCTGCACCCCCATGAGGGGCAGCATGAGTGTGGTCAGTGAAGATGACTGCTGGCTATCTGCAGCTGCTTGTCCCTCCACAGCCTGCAAACAAAGTACACGAAAAGGGTGAATGTTTATAAAAACAAGCATTTTTAAAGACTATGTTACAGAAATTGCATAGGACAAGAGAATCCCAGGGGTGTGGTGAGCAGTAGTGTATGGCATACCACTGCTTTTATCTTTTTAGAACTCTTATGCAGTGCTGGAATTATCAAGAATGCGAGACCCCTGAAAGACATTTTGTTTATGCGGGCACCTTCCTAACCAAGGAACTGCTCAGACCAGCAAGCTCATGCTGCGGGTCTTCCAGTACAACACGCAACCTATGAAGCAAGCAGCCTTGAGCAATGTGCACCTAGCATGATCCAATCACTTTGCAGCAGACAGGCCTGCTCTGTCCATCACATGAAAAATGGAAAGTGAAAAGTTGGAAATCACTCACTTCGAAACACAACACAAAGTCCGAAAATAAAAAGGAGCGAAAACAGAAGAGTCCTGCATTCACTTTCCTTTATGCTATAACTGTCTGTCATAACTGATTCCCAATGACAAGTTAACTGTTGTTCCCGTCAATGTTTTTGGTGCTGTGGAAGTCCAGCTCTTCCGCATTGCATTGAGCAAACAACAAAGACTGTGAGCCCAAGCTGCTCTGGGTGTAACTCAATAAAGCAAGGACGAAGAAACTTGGCCTGGAATAATTCATTAGTGCCATATGACACAGGTTTTCTTTCGACGGTTCTCCAAACAATGCTTGCCAGCCAATTTTAGACCTTGACTGCACTTCTCTACATCTAGGGCACTCGTGCTGTAATGTTGGGTGCCCAGCAGCATGTGCAATGCAACCAGCTGCTCCCGCTGAGTGGGCGAGAGGTCCTAAACAGTGCAGCTGGGGGCAGTTCAAGCCCCTCACCATCCAGGGTGGCAGTGTACAGCTGCAGCTGAAAAAGATTAGCACAAGTGACCGATGACCGGAGTAGCAAAATTGCGACAGGCAGCGCTATTGTTCCCGAGCGCGCCGATAGCAAGTGCCAGTCATGTTCCATGTCTCAACGTTGGTGGCTGCCAGAAAATTGAGGGATAAGATAGCTTTCAGAATGCAAGCTTTAGGATGGGCTGCTTTGTGCCGGCCACCACCGTGTCGCGATTTTGCTGCTCCGGTCGTTGGTCGCTTGTGCTTATCTTTTTCCACTGCAGCTCTACCTGATGACTGGTGCACAGCTGACACGACAGTTTCAGTAGCATGCATACATGGTTTGCAGGTAATGTCATGTCAGTATAAAAGACAAGACCTTTGAGTACTTCCAAGGGCACCGTGTTGGTGACCACCACTTGGTACATGTCAGATGTGGTTAATGGCAGAGGCTGCTCATATTGCCATGCACGTCTCCGAGCAAGCTTGCCCGTGGCCGAATGTTTATTGTGCTTAGCTTGCACACAAAGGGCTGAGGTATGATGCCTGGCCGCACATGCACCTTTTTGTTATTTCTGTAAATGTTGCATTCTGGTTTAATTCAAGAATCCCATTGCTTGTTCAAACTCAGAATGTTCTACGCGCCGAACTTTCTATACCGATTGTTCCAGAAGTCCACGCATATACATGAGGGGCTCTGCGTGGCGATACAGAGAGAGTCTCGCTCTTGCGCTCAATCGTGCTACTGCGCCGACCTTCGATGCCTGTGATGCTACCTCTTTGTATTTTTGTTTTCAGCACAAGTTTGCCAAATTAAACGTTTAGTTTCTGTTCATTCGTCACCTGACCATATGTCATTCGCGAAATTTTGGTGGATGTGCGGGACATTAACAAAAAGGTGCACGCGCGGCCAGAAATCGAACCTTGGCCCTTTGTGTGGGAACCAAGTATGAGAACCATTCGGCCACAAATGCGCTTGCTCGGAGACGTGCGGGGAAATATGTGCTAGTGCAGGCACTTGGGCTAAGCCTAGGCAGAAGTTTAAACCGTCAAGTGATGATGACAAAGTTTGTCCGTGTTTGTCCAGTTCAGTACGCAGAAAATATTGCTCTGTGTGGTGGCGAGAACCATCTGCTACTTACTCTCAACTGTGACAGATTGTGATATCTAGCCAAAGGTGGAGGACGTGAATACCCGAGTGCAAAAAATGAAGAGAAGTATACAAAACTGCACGCCGATGATTTTGCTGAGTTCGACAGGCAATGCCCAGCCAGGTGCGTCCTGCTTCCACAGCCCTTTGGAGCAAATATTTTTAGAAGTGGACCTTTTATATAAATAGCAGACATTGGTTTTGGAATTGGTGAGCCAGTTTTGTCTTAGTGTCATTCCCTTGTCCATTTCAGGGCAGTGGGTAGATGTGGTGCTGCCGGGAATGTTCGGTGGAAGCAGGTTGCTGTTGGGAAACGGGACCGGAGGCACAGTCTTTTTCCTGACACAGTCTCATTAATTGGAT